TAGCGGCGTAGTCTAGATGACAGGCAGCAGCAAAGTCAACAAGCTCAGCGACCAAGGCAGACGCAGCAGTAGACTCAAACGACGGGTCAGTGACAACAGTGGCTAGGAGACGCGTGACAGTAGGGTGCTCAGTACGAAACCTGTCAGACTCAGGGTCCGGAACGGCAGGCAGAGAGGACGCAGGGGGAGACGGTAGAGGAACAGGCTGCAGAGCAGAGGAAGGACGACGGACTACGAGGCGTGCGCTGGGGACAGCCGGCTGACGCGAACGAGGAACACGACGACCGGTACGACCAGGACGAGCAGGCGAGACAGGACGCGACGCAGGCTCACGACGCTCAGCAGGACTACCAGTCTGCTCAGTGTAAGGAGAAGGAGCAGGCAGCGGTGAGCCAGGCTGTAACGGAAGACCAGTAGACGACGGGAGAGTAACAACCTGACGAAGAGCAGAGTCAGGCGGCGGCAGAGACGACGGAGACGGCGGAGCGAAGAACAGCCGTGTCGGCGCAGCTGCACCAGTACCGGCAGCTCCAGCAGCTCCAGTGCCTCCAGCAGCTCCAGTACCTCCAGCAGCTCCCGTACCTCCAGCAGCTCCAGAAGCTCCAGTCCCAGGGTCTCCAGCCTCAGTGTCTCCAGCAGCAGCACCCCCAGAACCAGCACCTCCAGTCCCAGGGTCTCCAGCCTCAGTGTCTCCAGCACGAGCACCTCCAGAACCAGCGACTCCAGCACCTCCAGTAGACAAAGGACCAGCACCACTCCTAGCTCCAGCAGCGCGACGCTGACGGCGACCGTACCAGTCCTGCAGCTGCTGTGGGGTGAGAGGCACACGTGGACGAAGGCGGCCACTCCAAGGAGACCGCGCAACAGCAGACTCAGAACCCTCAGCGCCCGCACCCCCAACGGCTCCAGAACCTCCGGTGTCAGTACCCTCAGCACCAGTACCTCCAGCGGCTCCAGAACCTCCAGCGCGAGCACCCTCAGCAGCTCCAGAACCTCCAGCTCCAGCGCCACCAGTACTAGGCCCTCCAGCAGCTCCCGAACCTCCAGCGCCACCACCCTCAGTAGCTCCAGAACCTCCAGCGTCAGTACCGCCAAGCTCAGCACCCCCAGACCCCTCACACTCAGGCTCAGCACCACCAGGCTCCACACCCTCAAGCTCCGCACCCTCAGGCTCAGTACCCCCAGGCTCAGCACTCCCAGGCTCCGCACCCCCAGGCTCAGCACCCCCAGAAGTAGTACCCCGAGCAGGACCACTCTCAGTAGGACCTGAGTCACCAGTGACCTCAACCGGCGCAGTCAAGGGAGGAGGGTCTACCTGAGAAACACCTGAAGGAGCAGGACCGGGAGCGGGGAGGGGGTCTACCTGGGGAGCACCTGGAGCGAGGAAGAGCGGCGGGGGGGGAGCGAGGCAGTGCGGTAGGGGAAGAGACGGTAAAAGGGAACCGACTCGTCGAACGTGACGTCCTGAGACGCAAAGACACGGCGCGAGGCGGGGTGGTAAAACTGCCAACCAGGCGCGTCAGGGACAAAGCCAAGGAAGACACAGGGAACAGCGCGGGCGGAGAGCTTGTCCGCGGTGGTATCGCGGACAAAGGCACGAGCACCCCAGACCCGGAAACGCGACGCATCGCCAACCTTCCCCGTCCACAGCAGTGTGGGCGAGGTCTCCGGCAAGGAGACACGGGGCCAAAGGTTGAGCTGATGCGCGGCGTACCGGACCGCAAACGGCCACAGAAAATGGGGGGCAGCCGCATGGATCATGGAGGTACGAGCGACCTCCATGACTAAGCCAATGCGGCGCTCAGCAACCCCATTCTGCTGCGGAGAGGCCGAAAGCGTGAACGACTGGGTGATGCCGTGCTCCGCACAGTAGGCTGCCAAGAGGTCGGAGGAGAACTCACCACCTCTGTCAGAGTGCAGACGCAGGATAGGAAAGTCCGACCGGAACCGCTCGCGGAGCTGGAGACGAACAGCGCGGATCCAGGGGATCAAAACAGTAGGGACATCCGCCTTGGTCCGCAAGGGGAAGACCGTGGTGTAACGCGTGTAGTCGTCGACAACCAGCAGGAAGTACCGCTCGTGGCCCTGTCCCTGGACGCGGGCTGGGCCCCACACGTCCAGGTGGAGCGTCTGCAGTGGAGCCTCTGTGGGAGGAAACGAGGAGGAGTGAGGAGCAGCGCGTTGCCGCCCCTCGACGCAAGGAATGCAGGGCGGCGCAGGCGAGGGAGGGAGGGCAGGCAGAGACCTGGGGAGACCAGAGACCAGGGAGCGAGAGTGCATGCTACGCAGGCGAGGCAAGGAGGGGTGACCAAGGCGGTGGTGCCACAAGAGAGTGTCGTGTGACAAAGCGCGACACTCGCAGGGGGCCGCCAGCTGACCAGACGCAGACGCAGACGCAGACGCAGACGCAGACGCAGCTACCTGAGGGGACTCAGTGGTCAGTGTGTACAGACTCGAGCCAGGTGCACGGGTGAACGTGGCCAAGTGCCGGCCCGTCCTAGCACACGTACAGTGAGTCACTCGCTGACTCGCAGGAGTGAACTGGTGAACCCCCCCATCCTGGAGGTCAGCTCCACTCACCAAGTTCGTAGAGAACGAGGGGAGGTAAAGACCTGACAGCGAGCCGGACGGGACGGCCGGACACGGCAGAACCGTGGAATAGTGGGCAAGGACAGGACCCCCAGAGGGGTCCGCCAGGGAGACCGGGACTGGCCGACGGAGCGGCGTGAGTGCGGTGCAGTCGCGAAAGAAGGAGCGGGAAGCTCCTGAGTCAAGGGTGAAGGTGTGCGAGACCGCAGTGGGCGCAGTACCAGAGAGAGCAGACACAGCAGCACCTGAAGCCACGGCCTCACCAGTACCTAGAGCAGTAGACGTACTAGCACCGAGAGCAGCAGCCTCACCAGCACCTAGAGCAGGAGACGCACTAGCACCTAGGGCAGCAGCCTCACCAGGGTCAGGCGGTACGCACAGGCAACAGGCACGGTCAGCACTAGTAGACAATGCATACATGGCAGTGAGAATAGCATCATAGTCACGCGCAAAGATATCTACCCCCTGTCCATGCAGCTCTAGCCAGGTGGGGAGCTCAGCCTCGTCGCCAAACACTGTGCGCCAGTCGTCGCTCAGACGGGCGAAGCAGCGGGACTGTGTGTGACCAAGTGTCCCACAAGGCTGACCAGTCCTAGCACCTGTGCGAATGACGTACGGGCAGCGAACTGTACGTGTAGACCTGCTACACTGAGCGTACCACTCCTGGAGCTGCCGAGGCGTAAGTGTCTCGCGTGGACGCCCCTGCAGCTGCAGCTGGCCACTGCTAGACGCTCCCAACTGACCAGCCCCAGGGCGACAGCTACGACGGCTACCGCGACAACCCCAGCTAGTATACCACTCACTAAGCTGCTGGGGCGTGAGAGGCTCGCGTGAACGTCGCTGGAGCTGCATCTGACCACCTGCCAGTATCATTAGCGCGGGCAGGGCAGGCGTGGCAGGCAGGCAGGCAAGCAGGCAGGCAGGCAGGAACGCAGGCAGGCAGGCAGGCCGGCAGGCAGGCAGGCAGGCAGGCAGGCAGGCAGGCAGGCAGGCAGGCAAGCAGACAGGCAGGCAGGCAGGCAGGCAGGCAGGCAGACAGGCAGGCCGGCAGGCAGGCAGGCAGGCCGGCAGGCAGGCGCGCAGGCAGGCAGGCAGGCCGGCAGGCAGGCAGGCAGCCAGGCAGGAAGGCAGGCAGGCAGGCAGGCCGTCAGGCAGGCAGGCAGTCGCTCACCAAAGGCTGGGAGAGCAGGCGCTCACCGGGCGAGCATGGCCGGCGCTCGACAGCGGCGACGTCGGGGCCGCAACACCGGCTGAAGAGCAGGGCCGAAGCAGCTGCAGGGCGGGGCCGCTTCAGCGGCAGGAGCAGGGTGGGGCCGCGTCAGCGGCAGGTCGGGGCCGTGGCAGCTGCAGGGCGGGGCCGCATCAGCGGCAGGTCGGGGCCGTGGCAGCTGCGGGGCGGGGCCGCATCAGCGGCAGGTCGGGGCCGAGGCAGAGGGCCGCGCGCGGCTCGGCGCGGGCTGCTGCGGGCCGCGCGCGGCAGCTGCGAGCTACGCGCGGCTCGGTGCGGGCTGTGCGCGGCTCGGTGCAGGCTGCGCGCGGCTGCAGCGGGCTGCGCGCGACTCGGTGCGGGCTGCGCGTGGCTGCAGCGGGCTGCGCGCGACTCGGTGCGGGCTGCGCGGTCTCGGTGCGGGCAGCGCGCGGTAGCAGCGTGGTTGCGGGCCTGACAGGCGTGTAGAGGCGGCGCGCGGGCTTTACGGGCCTCTAGGGGCAGCGCGCTGGCCTAGGGCAGCAGGAGGCAGCGCTTGTGCAGCACGTCACAAGGCAAGGCAAGGCAGGCAGGTACGTGGGGTAGCGCGGTAACCGCAGCGGTAGGTGGGCCCGAAAAAAACGGTCCTACGGACCTTAGTGCTCTGATACCATGTTAGAATCTAGCAGCAGGAATGACTGAACTAACAGGATGCAGGAGTACAAGTAGTAAACCCTAATTGGGTTGTACCCCATATGGGCTACCCCACTACAGCCTAGACAATATGCAGCACATATAGTTTGACAGGAGCATGTCTCCTTTACAGCAAACCCCTCTTCAAGTCGCATCACAATCTGTAAATTTTTATGTTACAAAAATTATTCATATTGTTGTTTCACTGGCTCACTAAAGGCATGTCTTATGAATGAACTTGCAGAGTGCGCAGTAAAACGAATAACGAGAATATTTAACTACTGAATGATGATACAATGAGAATGGCATGACTAAATAGGGGAAATCCTAGCTAGGCGGAGATGTCAGGCGAAGATGGCTCGGTGATGGTTGCGAATGGAGTGGAGGCGACTCGGGAGTGGTTCGGTGCAACGAAATAGGCCGAACAGGTTCGTCGCATGACCTTCGTGATATACTCGCTACGGTAAAGTGCGAGTACAGTAAGGAATTACAGCATGTGTCAAGCTAGGCTTGAAAGTGCATGAGCCAATGGTCACGACGAGATTCCCAAGCTACTCCAGAATGTCTCGGACTGGATACGGTATAGGGGCATTGCCAAAAGGATGGGGGGATGTGTATTTTGATAACCTGCAAGCATGTGGGTTGGTGGCAGCACACACACAGAATGTGCACATCAACAACAGTGCATAACAAGGGCGGCTAGAGACATAAATAACAGCGGGTCAACCAACTGGTGGAATACAATGTGCAGAACTCAAAAGTGGTCAACTTCTACCAAAAACAAGCTTCAAGCTGTCACTTACCATACATGGTCAGCTCTTCCCAAAAGCCTGTCTGATCGCTGTCTTCTGGTCTGCTGTCAACCGGGACGGATACTGCACTTCAAACTTGACTCTCAGGTTACCCTTGGTCCCCTTGGTTGGCATGCCCTCTCCAGCCACCACCTTTTCAAACCCTGGCTTGATAATGTCATTCACTTGGAAGGAAAGCTTCCGGCCATCAAGTGATGTGATGTTAACCGCGTAGCCAGTGAGTGCATCCACAAGGGGGACTTTGCACGTGTAAACAAGGTCGTTCCCGTCCCGCGTGAACCTGTCATGAGGCTTTTCGTCAATCACAAAGGTAATGTCTGCAGGAATCATTCCAGGCTGCTCATTACCCTTTTCTTCAAACGTGACCTTTGTTCCCTTCTTCCAGCCAGGCTTCACATTGATTGTCAATATCTCGTCCACCGTTTTTGGTCGTCTGCACAAGCAATCACGTCAGAGGTGCATGGGTAAAGGGCGTGAAGACCAGAACGGAATATGAAGAAACCGGTAGAAGAAGGCAGAGAACGGGGAAAAAATAAGCAGGGAAATTAGGGACAAGAGGTTTCCTGAGGAAGATGTGAGGAATGAGTGTGTCACTGAAAATACGGCAGGCATACCTACCCGTTTGCATCTATGATGTTGCGTGAGATCTTCATTTTCCTGCAAGATCCAGAATACAGCTCCTCTAGCGTACATGGAAGCTTGTTTTCCACAGGTGCGGCTTTTCTGGGACCAGCAGAAGCTGATGACGCCTGAGAGCCGTATATGCCATGGTCGAACATATCCTGGTACTGCATCGATTCCCCCATACCGTTGGCGCTCCCCATGCGACTGAAGCGGCCGCTTGGCATACCACCCATGCCACCCATCCCTCCAAATCCGGGTCCGTAAGCCCCTCCAAACGGACTGTGTCCGCCGAATACCTCCGCGAATATGTCCTCAGCGCTTCGTGGGTTGAAACGGAAGTTGCCATGGGAGTGACCCCCATGGCTGCTGTACGAACCCCCTCCTGGCGCAGCCTGCCCTTTCAAACCCTCCTCGCCGTATTGGTCGTAGACTTGACGCTTCTCGGGATCACTTAATACCTGCACGTGACAGGTTCTGTAGGTTGAGGGTGAATCGGAAAGTTACAACGGTAAAAGATCAAGTGCTAGGCAAAGGGTGTACCTCGTACGCCTCCGAGATTTGCTTGAATTTAGCCTCCGCTGCTTTCTTGTTGTCCGGATTCTTGTCCGGGTGCCATTTCATAGCAAGCTTCCGATACGCTTTCTTCAAGTCGTCATCACTTGCGGATTTTTGGACTTCTAATAAGTCGTAATAGTCAACCCCCATTTGAATACCTAATTCTTCGGAATCCTCGAACACAGTTCTTCACAAGGACGAAAAGGAAGCTATGGATGCTGCTAGAGAATATCAAGCAGGGATCGTGGTAGCAGCACAGCAGTCGGAACAAAGTCAGCACAGCAGCATAGAAGCTAGGCAAAGTCGCCTGAATCTACGGCCGCAGCTTTTCATCAAACCTGACGCGAGTTGGCAGAGCTACCTTGCTTTCAGAAACGTTTCCGCTTGTAACGAAACAATGATTTTGCATGTTCATTGAGTGTGTTGCCGTACATTCTCTTATGTTCAACTCAAATACAATGAAGTTCAGTGATACAGTGACAATACTACCACTTCAAGAGAACTCTCTAGATTGGAAGTGATCTACATGTACAATCCAACAAAAATAACAGGAAAGGAAATTCATGAGATACATGATACACTGGAGCAAAATCCCTGGTTCTACAAAGTGATTAATTAGAAAACAAGGCAGCAGAAATCCCTGGTACCACCTGCCCTTGCCCGTCTACTTTTACTTCTGCATTGTCTGACTGGCAGGAGCATCCAATTCATCATCCTCGTCCTCGTCTTCCTCCACTTCCTCCTCGGCATCAGGAACAGTTTCCAGCGCCCCAGAAGGTGCTGGCGCGCCAGACCCACTCTCAATATCCCCTGCTCGTCTATAAAACGAGTTCTCAGCCACCTGATACTGATCAGTGGTCCGCACCTCCTGGCACAGTGCACACCAGCAGCACCACATCCAGGTGCAAATATCTGTCAGGCGCTTGCTCCCGCACCACCAGCGGGTTCCGGGGAGATTGTAAGTCTCCCTGATCTTCACTCGCCATGCACCACCGTAAGCAAGCCCGGTGAAGGCAATTGCAAGGCCTAAGTAAAAGATTACGTCTTTGGACACCTCCCCTTTAACGGCAACCGCGCAGAGCTCGAAAATACACAGAGGCCCGAGGAGCATGATAATGAACATCATCGTGTGGACGACCCGATGGCCAAACCCAAGCCTCTCCATGTTGTACCCAAACATGCAGCAGGGGAAGAAGCAGGTCAGGCACGCGACGCGCGAGTCGTCGCAGCACCCAGGGATTACCGACCCAGCCCATTGCGCGTCCTCCACCTTGGTGTGAGACACCATGAACGTTGCACTCCTTTGAAACATCTGCACCTTGGCCCCGTCGCCCTCTCCAACCCGTACAATGTCATAGTCCTTGCTCAGGGGGCTCAGGAGCAGATGGAGAAAGGCGAACGCGGGTGCCGCGAAGGAAACGACGGTGGTAATGAGAATCAGGCTCATGGGTCGCTCGCCCATAGGGTAGATCAGGAAGACCGCTGCGAAGGCGTACGTCGCCCAGCACGTCAGCTGCAGCCAGAAAACGACGATCGCCATGTGCGTGCGATCGTTGGGTTTCCGCTTCCCGTCCTTGCAGTACTCGGCGCGAATCTCCCACTTATCCTTGGGTTTCCACCGGATGAGCAGCAGCACGTCGCGCATGAAGACCGGATGCCAGATGAGACACATAAGCACGAAGAGAGCGTTCAGGATCTGAGTGGAAACCTCCTTCACTTCTTCCAGCGTCTCCTCCTCATGAATGTAACTCTTCATCAAGCCGAGCTCGCACATGACGACTATGACGAAGGCGAACGTCGCGAGGACACACCAGAAGAAGGACGCGGCGTTGATAGGGTTGGTGATCCATTCCATCGCATTTAAGAACAACTTCTTCCATGGCACGTCCTTGATTGCCGGAAGTTTCACCTTGAGCCGACGCTTCTTCTTGTTCGCAGCGCCGGGGGAAATGTCAGGCGGAGGAGCAGAGAGCTCGGTGGTCGCGGGGAGGACGCTATCTGCTGACTCTGGTCCCTGGGGGCCCATATTTGCGGCTGAGGGTGGATGTGGTATGATAAAAGGAGGAGAGGGAAGACCAGTTGGTGTTAGGTATGAGACAGGAACCAAAAGTCCATGTGCGGAAATACTGCACAACGGTGATATGTTCGCCATGGTGTGTCTTTAACTGCTCGTATGTTTTGAAAGAGGTAAGGGAACTCTGCATTCAAGAGGCGTTTGCGATTCTCTTTGAAGGTGATCTTCAATCGCCATTCCGGCGTGTGTTGACACATGATTCACAATGGCCCCCGCCTTTGCTTGTACGATATTCCACAGCGAAACCCATCCAGAGTATCCCTTACCTTGGCTTTCGTTATCTCTTATGTCTGGCGACGAATCCCTCCGGAAAGAACTCAAGCAGCAACAACTCTCGTGCAACTATGATCCAAAAAAGTCAAGAGAAGCTTGACGCTGACGTGAATAAAATTTATTCAACGTGAGGGGACGGTCGATGAAAGAAATAGAAGCTTTTCACGAAGGCGAGGTATGCTCCTCGGCTGAAGGGGTTGGACGACGACACCGTACAACAATGGCAGAAGAAAACGGAATTAGCGACTAGTCTCTAACGCACTCTGTTTGCAGTCGTCAAATCAACCGTTCCCCCATTCTGACAATTTGTAGCCTCGCTGGGCTGGGTGCTGCTGTTCCATACCCCATCCCCTTGGGCGTTGGGCAGGTTCGAAGTTTCCGAACGAAGCCCATACGCACTCAGTTGCTGACCACAGGCAGCCAGAGTTCCAATCGCAACCCGTTCTCATTGGTCAATACCTTTCTGTTACACGCGGAAATATTTGCGAAATCAACATCAGGGAGCTGCGTCGTCAGCGGGGAGAGCTTTCATTTCGCGCCCTCGTTCAATCCGCGCCAAAGGGGGCCTGGTCTTCCGCATTGCACCTTGACGAAACCTGCGGCGCGATCGGCGTCCACCACATGGCGCCAGCACAGGTGCGTCAGGGTCGCAGGTTCGGGTGGTGTGGTGGTTACCAAACAAATTACTGAAACCACTTTCGCAAACGGTTCAGAGAAATGCGACAATCGTGTGACTGAAAGTACACTCGTGATACAAATTCAATGTTACGTTCACATCCATTACTACATTTGCATACTCAAATCCATCACATTTAGGGTGCCTAATAAGGATACTTCTTGTTCTCTAGACCCTTGGGCCAATAGAAACAAGCCCACAGCATGGAGCCTGATTTTCCACACGTATACGAACTGCAGCCAACATCCGTTGTCTTCCTGGCAACAATCTGACACAACCAGAAGGCGAGTGCACACTTAGGAATGGAAATAAGATATAAGGAACTGCAAAAAAATCGGAAAGGAAGGATTCGTACTTGAACGTAGTGGGAGCAGAAGTGTCCCGTTTTGCATCCACTCGGTAAAGGAGAGTACGTGTAAAACTTCTTCTCATCCAGCCACACGTTCACCACCTCGTTGGGAGCCCACTGCCCAATTCCAAAGGTGCTCAACAAGTTTTGACCATAGCTGGAAAGTGCAGAAGAGCGATTCATTGTCCTGCACTTATTGTCAAGCTTTCCCAAGTGTGCAACCCATGCCTGGGCTTTCTCTGCCACTGCGAAAGGACCAGTGAAGAAAACAGCAGTTTTTAAGACAAAAGAAGCGAAGTAGGTTTACAGTAATAGCAACCAAGCGGAAGATAAAGGGCAAGAGTGGACAGAAAGTAGACTCTGCACTTACACGAATCGTTCCATTTGAGAGCGGGTAACTTCAGAGCAGAACGTGCAGCATTGTGGGGATCAAGGAAATCAGAATGGCCAATAGCCTCGCACTTTCCTCCCACGCGGCGGTAACCATCAGTGCAGTTACACACCCCAGCTCCGTTCTTAATGTAGCAGTTGGCATAGGGTCCGCAGTTAAGAGGCGTGCAAACGTCTGGGAGAAGAGAGGCAAATACAATATGTGTCAGGGGTAGCAGGCAGGAGAGTTGGGGTGGAATATCATCAGATATTGCTATGCTTTGGGAAATGATTGAGGACACGTTGACACACAAAGGCCACAAGCTCCACAGCTCTAGCGAATAAGACTGCGGTCTGCAGGCAAAATCTGGGAGCTCTGGGTAGTCTAGAAGGGTGCTGACGATGAAAACGTACCAACGCACTTGCCGCCCTTCTCCACGAATCCTGCATTGCACCAGCACTTGGCGCCAGCCCACGTGCCATCCAGTGTGCTGTTAGGTGGACACGAGTACAGCTTGTTCAGGTCCTGGCCTGCATTGAGACAGCCAGTTACGAGATAGCATGATAACCATGTGGTGCAGTTCAGTTCTGCAAGGCGGGCAGAAGCTTAGACTTCTCCAAGAGCCCCTACGGAAACTAAAAGCACAGGGAGATGTTGGAATGCTGCAACGTACTGTAGATGCAGCTGATGGAATGCGCCCGAGACGGGGCTCTGGGGAATTTCCTGCAAAAACAAAACCAGGTCCGGGTGGCAGAATCTATCAGTTAGCCTTAGTATGCAATGCTAATATGGGCTTCCAAGCTCTCTGAATTATCCTCCAGGCAACTCTCGATACCCAAGGAAGGGGAGGGATGAGGTGCTTACGGGCGCTTGGTTGGCGAAGGCGGGCTGTGGTCAGTAGGATATGTGAGGTAGTCTGTGTTACCAATCTCGCAGTTCCTCGTTGGCCAGAAGTGCACCTGCAGTTCCAGCGAACATAAAGGACAAACAAACAACCGACATTCAAAACCAAGGATCATTGCGCAATCTCGTCTGCACATTGCTGCTACGGACGTAACATCGCTGCTCTCACCTCCTTGCATGTGACGAAGTACATGTCGCGTTTCATGGCGTCCGTCGGTGCGTACCACTCAAGTTTGAGGGATCCAAACACAGTGGATGGGAGGTATTGCGAGGGGATATTGATGCACCCAACTGTTGGGCTGGGCGCGTAAGTCACCCATTTCGCGCCGGTGTAATCCGTCTGGTTCCACCAGGTCAGCTTCGTACCACATGGCGTGCCGCGATTAGGCGAAGCCTTGATAATAAGGGAGCGGCGTGTGGATCCTGAGATGCAGAATCAAAACAACGTTTGCCGCGTTCGGTAGGTGAAAGTAAAAGGTCAGAGGAGTAAAAACAAGACCAGGAAGAATACTGCGAAGGGCAAAATTCGTGTGATTTCTGCTGCGGAGGCTCTGCATGGGAAACCTGAACGCTGAGGAGAGGAGACTGGAACTCTCCTCTGGAAAGATTACCTCACAACGAGATTTGGCAAATTACTGACCTAGACGACTCGAGAATTCTGGGCCTGGAAGCTTGTAAATCGGCTGGACATAGTTGGAGTGATCAGCTGAAAGGACGAGCAAACAATTTGCGGTGGATCAGAAGCTGGAACTGGAACTGCGGGAACCAATCTAGGCACCTTCAAGAATGCCACAAACCTGGTGACGAAGTCGCAAAACTCGAGAGAAAACCCAAGCACACCAGAAGCGCAAGCTGGATGATAGAACCCATCCAGGCGTGTTCACTGAACGTGCAGTTGACTTTCTGAGCAGAAATTCGGCTTCTTGGGTTGAGCGGGGAGTTGACTGTATTGATGCAATGCAAGTGTAAAAAGCAGAAGGGCTATTTCTATCTGTAACTGCGTTGCGCATAACAGCTGGCAGGGTGTCGCCGCCACGAGTTCGTTTTCGCGAGTTCGTAGATTTTCAATTCGTTTGTAACCTCGACTGATCGCAGAGCTGAAACCGCAAGTCAGCCGCCGAGCCACGACAACCTTGTAAGGTCGTTTGCGCAAAGCGTTACGAAGAACATCTCTGCAGACACCTGACGACCCCGACCGACCAGTGTGGATTTCCCTGTACCGTTTCAAAACAGGGGGTCAAATGGACAGAATGGGTCCGAGAGGAAAACATGCGATAGTGAGAAATGCATGCAAAACAGTGGATCCGTTTATATCCGGCCAGATATACATAAGAAACAAAAGACGAAAAGACATGCCACATTCCCACCTAGTCAGCCTTCAACAAGGTTGCACAGATACCACGGTAGCTTCTGGCTCTTAAATCGACTGGAAAAACTCGATGTGATGTCGTTCGAAATGGCCAACACATTGGAGAACACAAAAGGCTTCCCAATACATGCCACTCCACTTCCAGGATTGTATAAGAAACCCCGTATGGATGCTAATTTTGCTCAGAATCAACCATCCTCCAGACAACACGCCGCAACAGTAACCGTAGCGACCAAAACCCAAACAAAAATGTCTGCACGAACGACTCTGGTGCATTCTCCCTTTCACTCCACGGTCCCACTTTGCCACCCTCCCCATCGTCCCACTCCAACCCGTCCACCTCAGCTCCCCTCGTCCCAGACCCTCCTGAGTTCCGAGCCACCATCCAGGCAATACTCGCCTCAGTAAAATGGATGGCGAGTGCCGTCCACCACACAGTCTGCAGCATACTTCGGGACATGAAGAGGAAAACACCCAGGTCTTGCAACCAGCACACGGGCGGCGGGAGAGACGTCCGGGGGTAGAAGGCCGACAGGTAGAGCAGAGCCATTCCAAGAGGGACAAGAACCCATACAATAAGTGGAGGCTTGGGAACTTCTCTTTGAGCTCTGCGCCGCCAGTACGCCCTCGTGACATCCATGGCATGGCGGGGGTCCACTACGGGTTGGTAACCGAGGTCTGTTTTTGCTTTGGTGCTTGAAAACACGTGGTGCACTGCCAGCTGAAGGAGAGGGAATAAGGTGGTGGACAGTGGGGAACGATGGATGGTGGTTGATGCAGAGGATGAGTGCTATGAAAAATATGCGTGCCACAGGAAGGGGACAAGTTCTGAGTCACCAGGAGCAATAGGAAATCGACCAGGGAAACAAAATCTGCAAAGCTTTCCAAAAATGCTACACGAGGAACCAAGGGAGTGGGAGGATGGAAGCAAGGGAGTGCCAACAAAACCGATCACAGGCACGAACCTGATGAACTTCGGCTGGTAGAAGAAAAGGCGGTTGTGGTAACCAGTCAGACCGTAACAGCGGGCAGAGAAGCCGGTAAATAGCCTCGGTGAACCAGCCAAGCGACAGGGCAGAGGTTAGCGAGAGGCGGATGTAGGGCTGGGTTCCCCCGAATGCTGCTATGAGTGGCTTGAGGAAGTCAAAGGCGTTCACTGGGGCATCTGAGAGGTAGAAGTGGAGGGAGAGGGAATGGGAGAGAGCTGGGGGTGACTGGAGTGATTGAGAGTGACTGGGAATGACTGGGAGTGACTAGGAGTGACCGGGAGTGATCGAGAGTGATAGGGAATGATTGGGAGTGACTGAGTGTGACTGGGAATGACTGGGAGTGACTGGGAGGAGGTATGGTAGCAGCTGAGATTTTGTATGACGAGGGTAGTTGTATGAGCCACAAAGGTGAGCAGCGCAGATGCCAGAGGCAAAAACACAAAACGAGCAGCGCACATGGCATCAAATGTCCGACACTTAAAAACCATGTATCCAGAATGCATGTACTGCTCAGGACCATACCATCAGTTATGAAGTAAGCCTGCCCGGCAGACTTGCAGCTTCCATCCTCACAACTCCTATCCCCTTCTCCCGTCCCATTTCCATCCCCCACCCCACCACTGCCACCCCCTCTGCAAGCACCGCTGCTGGAACCGTCTGGAATAAGGCCACCAAATGCCAGACACTGCGCATGCACCAGGTTATCAACAAACAACCAATCAGAGCGCGACAGCTGGTCTCCCAACCTGAACCACAGGAAACCGGTCCGAACCAGACCCATGATGCGGCGGAGCGAGGAGGGCTCGCCCGGACCAAAGAGCTTGGCAGGCCTGAGCACACATGTGCGCAGCCGACCCTTTCCAGAAAGCTTCCTCATGTTGGATTTGAGAACGATCTGTTCTGCGAGGCCTACAGCCCGTCCGTAGTTGTCTGTGTGCTGCTCCATGGGGAAATAGCCGCAGCTCGCTTCGTCCACCCCTCCCCCTCCATCACCCTCCCTTCCTCCTCCCTGGCCTCCTCTCTTTCCTCCCGCCAAACCGTCCCTTCTCTCGCTTCCTCTTCTGCCTTCGCTGCTTCCCATGTGCCCCATGGCCTGCCCTCCGAAAACCGCTCGGGTGGATCCTGTGTAAACCAGGCTCTTGACGCCTTGGTTCAAGCAGCAGTGTACCAGATTGAGTGTACCGTCCACGTTTATCGAGGTAATGAGTGCCTCCATAAGGGAGTCTTTGCCCCACGCTCCGAAGGACGCAATGTGGAACACACAGTCGGCTCCTGCAAAAGCGGGGTTGAGATCGTTAGGGTTTCGAATGTCCCCTGAGATTACCCTGAGGCGGGAACGGCCGGTGGGTTGCTGGGTGGTAGCTTGAGACAAGAGGTGGAGGGGGAAGGGAGATGGGGCTTGAGGGTTGTTACTGGAAAGGTTGGATGATGGGTCTGGGGAGGATGTGGAAGGAGAGGAGGGAGAGGAAGAAGACGAAGTGGGCTTGGATGGTTCTGATGGCGGTGTTTGGGATGGTTTGAGGGGAGGTGGTTGGGATGAGGGAGGGAAGTCGAAGCAGCGAACTTCGCGAGCCTCCCTGATGAGATGGAGGGGAAATGCGGCAAGATGGAGGTAAGACGGACGAATCACGGAGGTGCGCTGGATTCGTCAGGAGCGCACATACGGAGTGAGATATAACAATGTGAAAGGGCAGGCGATTAAACGATTACTCGTGTGGTTGCGATGAAGGAAGGCAAGCAGGATCGTACCTTCTCAGCAGCTCGAGGCACAGCCTGACGCCCGCGTAGCTCGCACCTCCCGTTACCACAAACACCTTATCCTCGAAACTTCCGATGTCCGATATAAGCACCATTGCGCCAGCCGTATGCGCTACTTGAGTTTGCTTTTTGTTCTTCAACCACGAAAGTACCGCCAGTCACTAGGCGTTGGATGTGGAGCTTGGAGGAAGCCGATAATGGATGAGAACTACGAAAAGGGTACTAGTGCCCACGTGGCCACGACTCGTGGCTAGTTTCTAAAGAATCCGAGGTAGGCATGCGAGGAAATGACCAGCACCAGCACCAGCAGCCTTGGATGCCGAATCCGAGACTCATGGCAATATCAGCGTGTAGCTAGATTCATCGTCCAGTCAACATAACATAATGATAATTCTTCACGAGTTCAATCATAGGGAGGCATGGGAATCCTGCCTAGTCATCTTACCAAACCGTAGTGAACCACACTTTACTGGCATGCTCATGTTCAGTGTTTCCATTTCACGGCAGTTCCGTGTCAGTTCCACATTCCCGTCCTTCATGCTCCCATGCGGGCCTTGGGAACTCCGCGCTCCATGCACGGAGAACGCGAAGCGCGTGCCACCATTCTGGAAGCAGCCATGCTGCGGAAATGCTTGCTCCGTCTCTGGGTCCCTCCGAAATCCTCTTGCCGTAGGCTTGCTCTTGGAGCATTGAGCCGAGATGTAGGACTACCCCTGAGGCTGTTCTTCCTCTTCGTGATGCGTAGCGGCATTTCTTGCAGGGCGAAACACAGGATCTTAGGCCTTGTTCTTTCTCCGCTCCCTGCAGGGGGTCCTCTCAGCTTCTTCCAATCAGTTGGTGCAGGATCAAGGCTTGCAGGTGCCTGGAGCATGGCTCGAGCTTCGTGAGCTGTAGGCAGCGAAGTGCTGCGACTTCCGTGCGACTACCGTGCGACTTCAGTGCGACTTTCGCGCGCCTTTCTTGCGACATTAACATTGACGATTATCAGTTGGAAAATTCTTTCGCTAATCTTAGCGCATGACGGAGCAACAGGCGGCAGTGGACGAGCAGTACACGCGGCCTCAGGGATTGTACCGCCATCGAGACGTGAACCTGGAAGAGCTTCGACGTCTGATTCTCGACGCGAAATTGGCTCCGTGCCATGTGGGGAGCGATGAGCTTAGCCACGATCTCGATGAATGTCCCATTTGCTTCCTGGTAGGCAATGATTATTCTCAAATGGATGCCCTGTCAGCCTAATATTCTCCTCGTCTGTCATCAGAATTTCTTTTAACTGTCTTGGTGCCGTTGTCTGGGTCCCTTGGTCTCTTCAGCTTGTATTTATGTATACGCAAACGCAATTCCTTACCTGCTTTCAGGGCTATCCCAGTCTGAACTGGATGAAGTGTTGCAAGAAAGGGATGTGCACAGGTAAGCAATGTGTGATAATTTCTCCGAAGGTCTTGAAATTACTGGCTACTTTCTTACGCTTGCTTCTCCCTTGTTTTCTGTTTTCCAGAATGCTTTCTTGTAGTGAAGGGTCCTGCTACTCACAGCATTGAATGGTGAGTATCTTCCTGTGTTCCACCTCTCTGACAGCATTGACTGCTTCGTTCTGACCTAACATTCTTTTTTCTCATGTACCTCTCAATCCCTCCCAGTTGTCCCTTCTGTGTGACTGCTGGAGCGTCCGTGGAGTACCGGGGCAGGCGCACTGCAGAGGAGATTATGATGGACATGGAGGTATGTAGGCTGTGGCTGTGGCTGTGGCTATGGCTGTGGCTGTGGCTGTGGCTGTGGCAATGTCGATGGTCGTCGTTGTGGCTAGAAGTATCCAGCTCATTTAATCCCAGTAAAGAAGTTGCTTGCCTTGGCCATAATCTGTTTGTAAAGCTGTTCATTGTCAATCTTCAACTCCCCCTCCTACCCTTACACCTGTCCCCCGCCGTGGCCCTTCTGTGTCTCATCATCTGCTTTCCTTCAACTCCCTTGTCTTTTGCCCACTTACCTGCGCGCCTAACAGGAAGATCAGAAGGCGATTGAGGCAGAAATTAAGGCAAAAGGAGGAAAGGATGATGCATCTGCGCAACCTGCGTCATCTGCGCCATCCACAACTGAAGCAGGAACCGAAATGCATGATCACGCGGCCTCCTCTGCTGTAGATCTATCCAACGAGGAGGAGCAGAGGGCAATTGAAGAGGAGATTAGAAGGATCCAGGAACAGGAGGCGTATGCTGCGAGCCTGGTTGACATGGACGAGCAGAGAATGATAGAAGCAGAGATTCAACTGCGTCGGGAGGAAGAGGCATATTATGCGCTCCTAGCTGGCCAAATTGCAGCACTGGATGACCCTGCCGGCGCATCTCCAGCAATCCCACCCAATTCCTCGGACAACCCTTCAGACAATCCCCCCAGTTCTAGTGGCACAGGCGCTACATCAGATGCCGCTGCTGCTTCTGCTGCTGCTGCTGCTTCGTCTGAAGCAGAGGAAGTTATTGATGAGGATCAGGTGGAGGCTTCATCCTCGGCAGCACTAGCGGTGGTGAATGCAGACCCTGCACCAGCAGCTGCAACTGCAATTGCCTAGTGTGGAAATTCTTGAACCAGTGGAGGTACGGTACTACCACAATGTACCAGTAGCATGCTGTGTTTTACAGCTCAGTCTAATAAACCTTGAAAAACCGTGTCATCTGTGCTCTCTGTGGTCAGCATCACAACCGATATTGTGATCGTGTTTGGAGGGTTCAATTCAAAGGCTTATGGTTCTTGGCGAACTTACCGTATGAGCTAGAAGAAACACGACTTGGTCATAATTAAATATGGTAGTAAGGTACGTATAAATGTGTAGAGCCGAGGCAGCTCCATTCCACAAACATCTAGTAGCAATCTACCGTATCTATTCTAAGGTCAGTAGTATGGCCCAAACAGATCCTTGGCCGCACTAGTTCCTCCACCTCCTATCAACATCCCCACTAACCACCCCTCCCACAGGTCTCTGACCCACCCTCCCTGCACCACTGACCCTCACACCCCTCCCAGGCGTGACAGCCCTCACAGGAGTGGTGGGCCTGGCAGGGGTCCTGTCCACTCCGTGCAGCCCCACACTCTTCCCAGCCGCCCTTTCACTGCTACTGGACCTTGCACCTCCTGCTCCTCTTTGTGGCGTGGTCGCCCTTCCCATCCTCCCTGCACTCCCAGACCAGGCCATAGTTCTCCCTGAGCCACTGCTAGTCCCATCGCTTCCAACCCCGCAGGCTCTCCCTCCAATGCTCCTCCTCCGCCTCTCCCTCTCCTGCTCCTCCCGAGCTGCGTTCCTCTGCAGCTCGCGCACTCGCCTCCGCTCCACCCGATCCCTCTCCGCCTCGCTGTACTCCTTACAAGCAGCCTCGACAAGAGCGTCTAAGATCATCTCCTCCAAATCAAACGCCACTGTAGCAGCCTCAGAGTCTCGTATCTCTTCCTGCGACCACCGATCCACACCCTTCTGCATATCCCTCCTCGCTGCGTCATCCAGCACATCATACACGTCAGGTGACGGCGGAATCGGCCAATCATGGATCTCCACCCAGATTCTCTTCAGCAGATCTTTCCCCACAGGCCGCGGGTGTAGCTTCTGGAGTGAGACTGGCCGGGCAGCGGAGGAAGGACACGTGTCAAGGTCCCATTGCGGCGGGTCGAGGAACGGAGCGAGTGTGCGGCCGATGGCTTCATTGATTGCATCGAACAGCAGCATGCGCTGCCGCCGCTCCTCTGAGCCCTTCGTGTTCCTTGTGCCACTGTTGCTGCTTTGACTGCCAGCCTCGCTGTCTTGACAGCTGCTGCTGCTGCTGCTGCTGATACTTTCTCCTGTGATCTCCCTCTCAAGCTGCTCAAACACCTCTCGCCGCACGGGGAGTTTGAGCGATGGGATGTCACTGCGGGGAGGCAGGGATTCTCCTGCAAACCCGGACAGCAGCAACACGTGGCGCACGTACTCCAGGTCCTGCTCGATCCCCGCCACGTCAGCGAGCCCCACGTTTGCTGCCACGTCAGCTAAAACCGACTGTGTGCTGGATAGGTCCAGAAGAGCCAGAGATTCGGCAGGGCACGGTGAGAGAGGAGGAGGAGCCGGAGGGGGAGGAGAGAGAGTGGAGGAATGGGGAGGTGGGGAAGGGGAGGAAAGAGGAGGGAGAGGAAGGGAGGAAAGAGGAGGGAGAGGAAGGGAGGAAAGAGGAGGGAGAGGAAGGGAGGAAAGAGCAGGAGGAGGAAGCAGATTTGTAGCTTCAGTTGACGGGAAGGGTGAGAGAGAGGAGAGGGAGGAGAGGGAGGAGGAAGTGGAGGAGGATTGGGAGGGGGAGGAAGACGGCCTAGTTGGAGTCTTACTGTCACTCAATACCAAGTCTCGCAATACGAGTGATGGATCCAACTCTCCGCTGCTTGTCGTTGTCACTGCATCTGAATCGTATTCCTCGCCTCGTTTCTTAGTGTTCACCAACTGCTGCTTAAGATCCAGCACAGATACGGGGCTCGCAGCAAGCTTATAACGGAGATGCTTCACGCGGGTGAAACTGTCCGCGTCGTCCGACTCCCACTCGCCGCTCCCCGACGACGCTTCGTTCACGGAACCACAGTCGTTGACGGAACTGGAATCGTCAGATTCCGTCTCGTCCGGCAGCTCGACCGTCATCTGACGGAGCTCCGTCAGTTGCGCAGTCAGCTCCGCCGTTTTCTCCATTCGTCTCGAAAGAAACGGCTCTTGCCTGCCCACAGCCATGAGCGTGATTCGCGGAGAGCCGGACCAATCCGAGTGTTCGTCCGAGCGCCTCTGCTGCTCTTCCAGTGCCCTTCGCTGCAGCTGCTGCTGCCGCCGCTCCTGCCGCTGCCGCTGCTGCTCCTGCACCTGCCGCCGCAAGCGCGTGGCCAGGCTCTCCCCCGAATCTGCGCTCTCGCTGGAGCCGCTGGGCGGAGAGTTGCGCCGGGTAGACGACGCGTTCCGCTCCCCTCGACCGGGGGAAGCGGGGGAGCTGAGGGGTGGATAAGACCTGCTTCCCAGGCGGTTTGGGGAACCTGGGGGGCTGAGCCGCCGGGGGGAGCCGGGGGAGCTGAGACGGCGCGGGGAAGCGGGGGGGCTGTTTGGCGGAGACGGGTATTGCGAACCGTGCGAAAACGGGGAGGCGGTACCTCGGCGTCGCACGGGCGACGATGGCGACGCATTCGGCGACGTCGCAGCGGGCATCCTCTCCAGCCCTTTCGCCTCGGACGGGCCGTGAGCGCGCGACTTCGCAAGGGACGAGAGCGTGGGGGTGTAGAGACGACTGGACGGGGAGCAACCCGTGTGCCGCGGAGACACGCACATCTGCGACGTTGGCGGGGCCATGGCGGCGATGTGTCCGGATGCACAGTAACTGTTGAAGGATAGGTTTGGCACGAATGAGTGAGCGGGGGGACGTGATGCTGAGGGGAGGAACGTGATCGTGATCGTGAATGTGACGTGACTCAGCGAGGGATTTCGTGGCTCGAACGTTGGTGGAACGCCAAATGCAAGAATCCTTCGTCAACCAAACTTAAGCTCACTCAGGCTAATGGTAAAGGCAAGAATGTACGAGAAGAGTGGAGTTTGTCGGAAGCTCTATATACGAATGGCGGTCGTAGGGTGCACAGATGTGGGGAATCTTCGACCGCGCCTCGGATGTTCTGGCGGCGGTCCTAACTACGGCTGACGGCGAGCAGAGTGGTGCAGACGACCGGCCGAAGAAACCTAACGCACAGCCGTTACGACTTAGCTCAGCCGACGACTGTATGAAAGTGAAAATTGTGTGGATAGGAAGTATTTACGGATAAGGTACGTTCAGCAGACTACTGAACGAAAAATGCGACAAGGCCAGAGATTCGAATGACGACGATGATAAGGCTGGCTGTGTCGGTGTGCAAAGCGTGTGGCTGAGAAAATATCTGAGGCGCGGAATCTCGGGAAAAAAGCGTTGCAGCTGTAATCACGAGAAAAGCGCAGCGGGACTCGGGTAAAGGTCAATTCTAGCGGAATCGCAGCTCGCATGAGTCACGGGTATTACGGCCGGATCTTGTGTATTCGGAACCCTTCGTGTGGAATGCGGCTGCGAGGATTCTCTTTCAAGGGTACTACGGTCGACAGAGTTTGATGATATCGCAACGCGTGCCTTGCTCTACCTTATTACAGTATCAGCCGGAAGGAAATCTGTTGGCACTGCGGTCACCAAGGTGGATTCTAGAGACGATCGAATCGCGTTCCATAGCGAAAGTAAACAGACGAGGGGAAGGGGAAAAATACAATTAACGAGACAGGCTACCGATAAAGGAGGAGGCGTCGGCGGTGGTTGCGCTAGTCTTGTTAGCGAACGGATGGTTCACGGAAATTGTCGATACTGACAAGGCGTGCGTTGAATCTGAGTTGAATTCGATAGACGTTAACAAAAAGGGCAGTAACAGTAGCAAAAGCTCCAGCCGAAACACGATGATGGACGGCGAATCGGGATATAAAGTGGAGGGTGCGGCAGGAGAGTAGCGCCAACCGCAACAGATTGAGGATGGAGGTTGCTTTCTTTGAGAGGAGAGGTTGAGAGGCGAGACTGATAAGAAAGGAGCATTGAGCAAGGCGAAACAGCAAGCATGGAGAGAAAGCAGTCAAGCTGGTTGGTTCGCATGAGCAAACGGGGAGAAGCACACCCCTCAAATCTCACACACCCCTTCCTCCCCTCCCTCCCCTCGCTCCCCCACTCCCTTCCCCTCCCAACCTACGTATACCCTCTGACATCAATGTCGGCCGAGGCGCGTAAAAATGCCCCATCGGCAGGCTTGACGAACCGCCTAAGACGACACGGCGGGACCGCGAAGGTGAAACGCTACCGCCGCGGTCCGGAAGCGGATGGGGTGGGGGGTGGGGGCGTGACCTGACCTACATTCATCCAACAGCTCTCAGGCACTTCGCCTCTTGAGAAAGCCTGAAGGTTTGGTCCGGATCGGATTGAGGGAAATGGGCACAGGGGTGGGATAAAAGTGAGGGGGGGTGGAAGGGGGAAGGGGGGGAGGTTGAGGGGAGGTCATCAGACTCAAGGCTGCGGGAAAGGAGGCGTAATGCGCGCCGAAAAGGGAGCCAGGTGGTACTATCCTCGCTGTTCTGTCCCCGCTCTTTACAAGGATCACTAATAGACATACACATACATGCTAATATCATTGTATCTGAAAACATAGCATATATGTGCACTATCTTCTTTATTCCATGTGGCTAAAAAGATTTGGCAGCAATATTTATTAAATTTAGTGACATGGATCACACCTCCTACATGCACTAGCGACTTGGGATGTGCCACAACAGTGAAAAAAACATTATGCGGGTAAATATACACAATATGAGTTTTCCTTCTTATACCGGGACAGCACACATGCCGAGACAAGCGCAGCCACGTGACCCGGCGGAAGAAAAACGCTCGGAACGAGCGCTTCCAACCCCGCAATGCGGAAGGATCCGCACATGTGCAGGAAGTGCAGCGAGCGCTCTTCATTTGCGAGCGCCGATGACCGATGATGCTCGCAACCCTCCAACGCCCTGACTTGGTAATAGGCCCAGAGAAG